TCTATAGACAATTTAATTCTATAGACAATTTAAGCTATTCTTGGTACAAACCCATAAACATACCCACAATATCTTAATATTAGATAAATTATACTTGGCAACAAATAATATTGGAATCAGGAGCAAATATCTTTGCTGGCTTCTTGTTCAATGTTTCCTTTTAAATAAAATAAATTATCTAACCCAGTACCTAAATTTCAACTAAAGTAAAAGTGAGATATGTATGAATAAATCCCTAAACTCCAAAGCAAAAACATGTGGTACTTTTAAAATACTTTTTATTCAGCATTTTCAAACTACAAGCTGTAACACAAAGGACAACAAACATGAATATCTGCAGACATTTGACTTTATTTGCTTCACAGTCAAATTATATTTCACAGTTTACAGGTAAGATTCCATATGTACATCCACTTAAGTGCAAAATATATTACAGTGAAGTTATTTTTGTACAGTGTGCCTTCATGCGTTAGACCAAAAGTGCAGCCTCTGTGGTTTTCTACTGATAGTGTGGCAGCATGGTGCTATAGAACAACAAAAACTAGAACTTAGATGCCAATCACTTATCATTTGAATTTTTGTGAATTTAATGTGAATTTGTAACTATAATTAACTAATATATGAAGATCCAAGACAAAAGTCTGCAAATATTGAATGATCACTTTTTTGGAGTTAAAAGGTGAATTAAATGTACAAAATTGGAAAAATCTAGCATCCTAAAAATAAAGTCAAAATAAAAATGTATATGACGACAGTTGTTTTGCATTTTTTCTATGGAGCTCTGAGGTATATATATATATATATATAAAAAAAAAAACTTAAAAAAACCATCGAAATCCCCATCAGATGTTACAACACAATTGCCTCTCTGAACGAGTCGATCCATCTGTTCAAAAACAACAACAAAAATATTCTTGAAATCATTTATTCTTCCCGTGTGGAACAATAAACTGATTTTAACTTTTCAGCCGTACATACCTTTGGGCCGTTTGAGCGTCGTCTGCCCTGAAAATGTAGTAGAGCGTGTTTTTGTGGTATAGCTTAAACTGCTGCTTCTCTGAGGAATCGACTTTTAAAACGAAGCCCAGCAGGGGCTGACTCTCTGAGGCTGCAACATCCTGCAGGTAGAACCAAAACAAAGGCACACATTAGATCAATTTTAGCTTTTGACGAAGGTATATTTGTGCTAAAGCAGAGGTACTAACCTCACTGGCTGCATAAGTGTACAGCACTTTGTCTTTAATGACAAACCACAGCCTCTTCCAATGCTTTTTATTGTGCTTTGACCTGTGCAGATAACCGCTCATGGATGAATCGTCTGTGTTTGCTGACACCTAAAACAGACAAGTAGTCACATTAGTTTGCAGCTCAATTAGAAATATTTATTTTGTAAAATCATAAAATAGAATTTTTATGTCATGTAAAGAAAGAGTGGTTTGTGCACGCCTGAAAAGAGAAGATTCTGAATTTACTGAAATTTTATAAAACAAGCTTTAACTCAGAACTTCTGGATTCCAAGCTCTACACCCTAACTAGGCTGCCACTCCCTTCCACCTTACGGTAACATTCACATTTTTTGAATATGACTGTTTATGACTAAAGCATCACTTACCTCTTTAAGTGCTGCCGGGATCTTCTTCTGCTTCCTGGAAAACCCGATGGTCGCCCTGCTTCCAGGTGTCATTGCTGCGCTTGAGACCACATCACCTAATGAACAGGAAGTGGTTTAACTATGAGAGCATATTTATAAACCTATTTATAAATATTACAATCTATGTCTAAACCACAGATATATTTCAATATGTAAAAGTGTAAAAAAATGGCCTCAGATTGCAAACAATGGCTATAAACATGTCTTACTTTTCTGTTGCTGAAGAATGAGGAAACACTGGTCACACACTCGTGCTGACTGGTTCTTTAGATATGCAAGACAGTGTTTATTGGAGGAACAAGACTGGCAAACCACCTGAGGGGATGAAACAGCAGAATAGTTTCAGTTATGTAAGACGGAGCAGTGTCAAATAGTTCTCTAATTGTGGTAGAATAATAGTACATCATTTCAGCTGCTGGGAAAGTAAATAAAGTCTCAGAGTGGTGAGGCCATAACCTGACTCCGCCAGATGGATTTGCTCCGCATATC